AAAAGTGCTTGCATTCATGTGCTATGTAACTCAACACGTATAAATTGCTTTGACTCATAAGGCTTTTAATGTGTATAATAATTCTCAGGCTCTGTCAAACAGGTACCTGTTTCTCCCGGCGATCTTAACCTGAACGTTTCCCCTCAAGATGAATTCCTCTAATGTTTTCCCTATCTCTGCAGGGAGAAAAGAAATCTCGGTAACTCTCCGCATGCCAATCTGGTGACCTTTCTTACATTTTCTGTTTCTGGGAATTTAATTACAGATCTAGTCCTGCATTAATTTCTGTTTTATCCTGTTAGTATTCCTCACCCCAGTACAGCCCATTATGAGCTTAAAAGTTCATTGGCTCACATACCTTGCTTGTAACACATCATTAATATGTGGTCAGGAGAAACGATTCACCAGCTCTGGAGCCACATGACTGGGGTAATGGGCTTGACTGAACAGCCTTTGGATAATATAAACTGTCTGTGGTGCCTTGTGCTTGCTGGCATTGCTACAGAGAGGTGCCTTTTTGTTTCAGAGAAGTGTAACTGGATATTCAAGCCAGCAAAGGGAAATCCCACAGGGCAGGCTAGAAGCCAGGAAGAGTGCCCAGATCATTCCAGAGGCAAGAATATGGAATAATATGGAGAGTCCCTGGCTTTTCGTAAATAGAATTGTTTATGAACCATGAACAAATATGATAACTTTTAAGCCTCACATGCCTGTACAGTGGTACCTCGGGTTAAGTACTTAATTTGTTCCGGAGGTCCGTTCTTAACTTGAAACTGTTCTTAACCTGAAGCACCACTTTAGCTAATGGGGCCTCCTACTGCCGCCGTGCCGCTGGAGCACGATTTCTGTTCTCATCCTGAAGCAAAGTTCTTAACCTGAAGCACTATTTCTGGGTTAGCGAAGTCTGCAACCTGAAGCGTATGTAACCTGAAGCGTCTGTAACCTGAGGTACCACTGTACTGTGCTTCGAAGAACCCCAGAAAGCTCAGCCAAAGTGATGGCACTTTTAAGCCCCTTTTAACTGAAGACACTTGCTTAAGTTTCCTATTGAAATCAATGGGCTTTGACGTGCCTAAATTTGGCCTTACCTGTCCCTCCCAAAAAAATATTTTATTCAAGTTGGCACCCCCGAGTCCCCCACCCACCCACTGGAAAAAGTACAGAAATGTATATGTTTGTGGAAATCGTAGAGAAGAATGCATATATCAGTGGGAAATGCGTACACAGATACAAAATTGTGTTACATTAGGGGAAATGGTTTGCAAGTTGTGTTTAATTGCATGCACAGATGTGTACGTTGGCAGAGATGTACACAAAAATGCTGGCAAACTTTTTTGAGGACTTAAAAAAAATAGCAAATTGGGAAAAGCTGAACTGACAGATTTTTCTTCATACAGTGAAACTTATTCATCAACAACCATGCTGAGAGTTGCACAGTAAGGCAATGATTTTTATTTATTTATTTTTACTTCCTCAGATATGTGGTCTTTATAAAGTTGAAGGGAAAGTGACCCTGGTCAAGTTCCTGAAAGGAAACTGACTGAAAAAGACCCCCAACCCCTGTTTTAAAACCTTTGGAACCTTGTCCCTTTCATTAAAGTCTCTTTGCCTCCCCTTCTCCTGCAGTCTGAAAGGACATATCTGGTGACCAGGGAACATTACCAAGTGTCAGGGCCAGATTTAGGTTTGATGAGGCCCTAAGCTACTGAAGGTTAATCGGGCCCTTTATATGTCCAGCTGTCCTTTGTCAACAACAAATTGTCATTGTTTTTTTGTGTTGAATATATGATATACGGTAATTTATGGACCTAATAGGTATCTGAAGCCATTTGTACATAACAAAATACGTATTTTATCAAAGTAATTATTGAACTGAAATACAATTAATAAGAAATATATTAATAGTGAAATACAATTACATTTTTTGGGGGGCCCCAAGAGAGTGGGGCCCTAAGCTATAGCTTGTTTAGTAAAGGTAAAGGGACCCCTGACCATTAGGTCCAGTTGTGACCAACTCTGGGGTTGCGGCGCTCATCTCACTTTATTGGCCGAGGGAGCCGGCGTGCAGCTTCCGGGTCATGTGGCCAGCATGACTAAGCCACTTCTGGCGAACCAGAGCAGTGCACGGAAATGCCGTTTACCTTCCTGCTGGAGCGGTACTTATTTATCTACTTGCACTTTGACGTGCTTTCGAACTGCTAGGTTGGCAGCAGCAGGGACCGAGCAACAGGAGCTCACCCCGTCATGGGGATTCAAACTGCCGACCTTCTGATCAGCAAGTCCTAGGTGCTGTGGTTTAACCCACAGCGCCACCCGCGTCCCATATAGCTTGTTTAGCTTATACATAAATCCGGCATGAAGGACACTTATGAAGTCCTTAAAAGTCTTATAAGACTCTCCCTTAGAGTCCCTTAAAGTCTAAGACTCTCTCTTAGAGTCCCAGCCGATCAGCACGTTGCTCCTACGGATTCCCTTCTGAAGAGCATCCTAGTGCCATTCTTAGCCTACCCAAGCAGCCTGCGAATCTATGCTTCCTGAAGCATGAAACGCCTTCTGCAAGCGTCATGATCCCAAAGGGGGTGGGGAAAGTTACAGAGGAACTTAAAATGCTGTGTGTAGTCTAGCGGAAAGAAACACCTATGCAGCATTTTTTTAAATGACATTATTTTTGATTAGACTGGGGCTATGCAATGCATGTCAGACAGTTTTTCAGGGAGCCAGCAAAACAGTAAGCTCTAAAGAGGAGGTTTTTGGAAAGTTAATACCCACAGCTGGGCATGACTAAAGTTGCATTTTCTTGATAATTGCATGAAAACAAGCTTATGGCTCATTCAGCGTTTGAATATAAAAAAAGAGGCAGCTTAAATTGAAAGGGAAAACATTTTGCAAATGCTTCCACTTTTAGCCACCTGCTTATTTGGGCCTAACTCATAGAAGCACAGAATTATAGACTTGGAAGGGGCATAAGGATCATCTAGTCCAACCCCTCCAATACAGAAATCTTTTGCCCAATGTGGGACTTGAACCCGCGACCTACTGCTCTACTGACTGAGCTATCACGAAACCTGTTCTACCTTGTTTCTACATTACTTTGCTGGTTAAAAGAAATATCTGCAGGAAATAGTATTTAAAAGCATATTTTCATACACAATTTCAAAATATGCCGTCTCAATTTATTTTCTCTCAAAATATGTATATTTTTGAGCCAAGAACTACATCAGACCATCCGGGAAGTGAAAAACCTGGAAGGGAACTCAATTCATTTGAGCCCAGTAAGATGTGAATCAGAATTGATATTAGAATTCACAAAGCACAAAGCAAATTCCTCAAGTGTCTGTAGAAATAAGCCCTACAATGCAACTGTGAATTCCAAGTTAAGTGAGCGTAGGATTGCAGCCTTAAAGCCTGAGAGAGAGGGGGGTGTATCTAGTTTTCTGAAAGGAGTAATTATTATACAATTTGTGCATGAATCCACAAACTTCCTTTTTAAAAAGAAAACAAGCTTTAAGCTGCTAGTTAAATCATCTATTTTTTTAATAAGACAATAATAACTTAACCATATGCTTGTCTATAAAAGGCTACAATACAGTAAATAATGAGCCTTAAAGACTGCAATTTTCAACTTAAACAGGCAATAGCAGTGCCCGTGAGAAAGTATTTACATTTTATTGTCTCTACTTTTTCCACACGGTAATATGATTTCTTGTAAGTACAATGATAAAAAAAGGAATTTCAAGTGGTTCCAACAGCTACATTGTATACTAATAAAAGCTGAAAAATACATTGTAAAGCATGAAAACCTATCACCTTAATGCCATTCTTTTTCTCCTCTTCTTCCAAGCTAGTGAAATAAAGTTGACATGTCAGTTTCCACTGTGACAAAAGACTGAAGGAATATTCTGATTAACATGGTTTTGGTCACCTAAATCCACGATATCACATATTGTACCAAGAATTGATGAGATTTTTGAACCATACCCATGCAAGCCCCATGCAATATCAACTGAAATATTCATAGGCGTGAAGAAACATTTATGCATAAATGTGCATGCCGCTTCAGGACTACAAAACCCATGTTGCAATGAGGCTGTTAGTGCAAAATGTATACACATCATTATCACAGACACATATCAAACTTTTGACATAACATTGTGTATTTGGACCTGGGCAGATTTTGATGTAACCCATGTATGTTTGACAGAAATGGGACTGGAGATGGAATTCTATCTGTGGATTTAATAAATCACTGTGACTCACTGAAACGATGTCAGCGGCTCCTGGCTGGTTGCCCAGGAAAGTATAAAGACAAGGAAAAGTTTATTACAGTCCTTTTTTATTTCAAACTTTAGAGAGAGAGGCTATAGAACCCAGCCTCTTGGATAATGGTGTTGTCCCAAGTGAATTACCACCCCCTGTCTTTCCCACTTCCTCATTCATTATCATCATCATCAGCTCCTCTATGGGTGCTGCTAAGTGCCCTCTGTATTGAGCTCTTTGCTCTCCTACTTTTAAGGCTTCCTGGGTTCTGGGAGATGGAGGGTCTGAAATGCTTTCTAGTGATAATGTGTCAGCCAGCTGCTGCTCCAGCTCTGCTTGCTCCTCCTCTCCCATTGTTTCCCATCTTTCTCCCTCATCTGCCTCTGAGCTGTAACCTCCCTCAACTCCCTGTTGTAAATCTAAACTGTCTTTCTCTTCCTCCTCCCTGGAAGGGTCAGGATGGGGAGGAGGTCTCCACCATTCCTCCTCTGCCCAGTCCCTGACAATTAGTTTTCTTTAACAGTGGAAGCAGATTTTCAGATTATACACAGCTCTTCTTCAAGCTTTGATTATGAGAGCAAAAAATAAACATCTTATAGTCTAGATAGAAACAAGTGAGTAGTCAGGCTGATGGTTACTTGGTTGCAGAGGTTTACTGGCCATTGCTGTTGGCATGGAGATAGTCTAGGTTGAAAGCAAACATGCCATTCTGATGTCATGTGTGATGTCACAAAGAGGCTATGCTTTAAGTCTTGGTAAAGCCAAAAACAGTTAACAGTCAGACGACATCTCAGCACTGTTAAGATGGATCTCCATAACAGGTGATGAATAGTTTTATTTGGGGGATATATTTTACTATTGGGGAAAAGTTTTAGATTGGTTTGTCAGTTTGTAACCCATCAAGCTGAGGCCAATAGATATACATTCACAAACCTGTAGCCATCAAATAATCAACTTTATGTGTGACTTTCGGACTGATTCATACAACCACATTTCCTTTCTCCACTCTATAGCAGCTTTTTCTCTGTATTTGAAAAGATAACCAAGAAGGAGAAGATAAAGAACTAGGAATAAGATGTGGATGAGTATGGTGAGGATCTAAGCTTCACAAGTGAGACAGCTAGGAAGATAGCTTTGTGGTCCAGCATAGGAATGATGGGTGCTTCATATTATTATTATTATTATTTTAAATAATGTTTATTAAAGTTTCACAGGGGGGAAAAAACACCACATTAGTAAAGAAAAAGTTAACAATGAAAAGAAAAAATACAAAGTAAAAAGAAAAAACAATTAAAAACAATTTCATCTTTTCCTCACTTCTTTTACGTTTACTTGTTTCCCGGACCTCCTCTTACCTCCCTCTTCTGTATTCTAATTAAATATGTTAATCCAACAATTCCTTTCCCTCCTTTTTAATCCTAATCTTTAATCTTGATGTAATATAACTTTACATTTTACATTTTACATATTAAAAACCAATTTTTCCATATTCTTTTGTGCTTGTACAGCTAGAAACCACTTAACTTCAATCCAACATCATTCTAACATTCATTAATATTTCTGTAAATATTTTGCAATATTTCTGTAAATAGTCTTTGAATTTCTTCCAATCTTCTTCCACCGACTCTTCTCCCTGGTCACGGATTCTGCCAGTCATTTCCGCCAATTCCATGTAGTCCATCATTTTCATCTGCCATTCCTCCAGTGTGGGTAGATCTTGTGTCTTCCAATACTTTGCAATGAGTATTCTTGCTGCTGTTGTAGCATACATAAAGAAAGTTCTGTCCTTTTTTAACACCGATTGGCCGACTATGCCCAGGAGAAAGGCCTCTGGTTTCTTCAAGAAGGTATATTTAAATAACTTTTTTAGTTCATTATATATAATTTCCCAGAAATACTTAATCTTTGGTCACGTCCACCAAAGGTGAAAAATGTACCTTCAGTTTCTTTACATTTCCAACATTTATTATCAGGCAAATGGTAGATTTTTGCAAGCTTGACTGGGGTTATGTACCACCTGTATATCATTTTCATAATATTTTCTCTTAAGGCATTGCATGCCGTAAATTTCATACCTGTGGTCCATAACTGTTCCCAGTCAGCAAACATAATATTATGTCCAACGTCTTGTGCCCATTTAATCATAGCAGATTTCACCGTTTCATCCTGAGTATTCGGGTGCTTCATATTATTGAATTTCTGTTCCACAAAGAAGAAGCCTACTCTGGAATAACATCCAATGCATAATTCTGCTGGTATCATCATCATCATCATCATCATCATCATCATTATGTGGGTGTACCAGTTTTCCAAATAGTAATTCATCCAAGGTATCTTACAAACTGAGAGTACTTCAGCTGTAACTCCCAAAGAGCAATCTAATTTCCAAATTCTGTACAACAAAGTTAATAAATTCAGCAGTATAAGATCCTATCTCTTCTGGTTTGGTTGTAAGAAGATGGGCAGGTAGGGCTTTCTGAAGCCAGACTGAGTATGCTGAGGCAGAATGCCATCTGCCTTTATGGGCCAGCCTGCACTGTGAAAAAGCTCTGCGATGAACCTACTTCAAAGGGTTATTGAAAGGATAAAATGGGACGAGGAAGAACTATATGCTGCCCTGAGCTTCATGAAACAAGATAAGGAGCAGGATGAAAACATCATTGATAAACAAACAAACAAATTAACAAATAATGTTGTAGGCCCATACTTTTGTGGCTGGAAGATTCCTTCCCTCACCCCCATTTTCTCATTGGTAAGAAACACACTGAGACCATGTTTAAGCATGCATAAGAGCAAATAGCGCTGACTGCAATTGGACTCGCTCATAAGCGGCGAGCTCTGAGCATCCCAGTTGAAGCAATGGCAACGAACTTAGAATTCTAACTTGCATGAGCGATATATGTTTAAAAGAAACTTCACAATCTCTTTTATGGAAGCACTGAGACTTTCCTTAAATGCATTGGTGTGAGAAATGAAAACTATAAACACCCTGGGATTCTCTTTTCCGTTCACTGCCTATTAATTGGCACTAATGAGGATTGTGTGCACATCAAGGAGGGGCAGAGTTGCAGGATGATGGCTCCCTCCACAGCCTCACAGCAGCAAAGCTTAATAAATGCTGTTTTAGATTAAAATGGAGGAGATCACAGAACCACCTAGTGCGGCTGTAGTGGATGGTTGAAGAACAATAGTGTGCATTACCTTTCCTCCACATTGGGTAAAGCAATACAGTGATGACATTTTTTTAAGAAAAGCTGTTTTTCACCCCTCTTAAAATGAGCAACAAGCGCATAGGTAAAATCAACCCGTTATAACAAGGAAAATCACCACAGGGCCCAAACTAGGTGTGAAGGAAATGTCCTCCCAACTTGTCCCACTAGTTGAGCTGGGGAAACTGAGGCCCAGAGGTTGAATGCGGACCTCCAGGCCTTGTTATCTGGCCCCTCAAATTCTCTGCAGGCCACACCCCCTATCCACAAGCCACACCCCTCACTTTGCTTTGCATCAAGTGGTTTTTTGCCTGGCTAGAATGCATCTTTGAATTGCAATAATGTCTATGGATGGAGGATGGAGAACGGAGGATGGAGGTGTGAGTAAGTGTGGAAACCAGCCTAATGGACAAAGGAGGGGAATTACATTTGTTGCCCCGCCTACTTTTGCATATGCTCCACCCACCCTTATCATGTGTTCCTTGGGAGGCTGCCCAACAGGGAAAGCAACCCTTGGGCTGGAAAGAAACCCCCACTCCTGCTGTGTGTCAAAAGCACAGAGGACTGCTGTGACATCACCCCCAGTTTTATAGGTGGCAAAACACACAATTGCAGGAGCAGCAACTGGTGTCTGCTACTCCCTTCTTCTAAAGCTTCCTCTGCCTGATTCTTCATCATGACAGAACACTGAGCAGAGAGCGTGTCCAGTGTGGTGGAGGACTGGCAACCACTAGTCATCACTGTGAGCCTAAACTCATTGGGAATGACCTATTGATCAGTGCACTGTATTAGCCTTGCATCCTTCCTATTACTGGAACAGTTTCCTTCTGCGTTTGCTGCTTTTGGCAAACAGTTCCACTGGTTCTGGATTTACTTTGTAAAACATGGATAGCCAATGTGGGGCCCTGCAGGTGCGACTGGACTACAGGTCACATCAACTCTGACCCACTGTCTGGGACTGATGGGAATTGAGTCCAACAATATTTGAAGGACACCACCTTGAACACAGTGAGCATCTCTTCCATTCACCTTCTACAGCCCACCTGGAATATCAGACATGTGACAGATTGCACTTAAGCCATTTGTTCTGAAATTCCTTTGACGGATGTCATCTTTATCTCTCAGAGTGGGGTTGGTCCAGTGATCTGAGCAGCAGTGAATTGCAGCAGTCCTCACATTCTTTCACTGTAACTCATCCCCTTAATCTGTCCAAAATGAATAAACAAACTCACAAGAATGTTGCAAGCGATTCACCTTCTGTCTTCCAGGTGGTCGGTACAGGACCCTTTGACTTGGTTGTGAATTTCTATTCTAAGATGCATAATTGTGGATGATGTAAAAAGCCCTTCCTGAATTAGTCCCTAATGAATAATTATTGATCAGTTTCCGATATCCCATTTGGGGGCAAGATACGGGAGCATATGGTAGCATCTCAGCGCCAGGGGTTTCTGGAGGAGAAAATTTATTTAGATCCATTTCATTCTGGTTCCAGGCCTGATTATGGGAGAGAGATGCCTTGGGTTGCTTTGGTTTGATGGATGACCTAAACCAGGAATTGGATTGGCCAGAACCCCTCTGACATGATTTTATATCTCCTCGCAGACACAGATAAGTATGTGACCTGGCGTGTAGCACTCTTTGCAACTGCTGCTAGGAAAATTAGAGCAAATTATATAGCCAAGGTAGCCATCAACTGTAAAGGAGATGAATTTATTTGACCCTACCTATCTACATCAGGCTATGCTCTATCTTTGTCACCAAACTCCGAGTATAAATTGCACACTGTATTAATTGACATTGTTTTTTGATATATTAGTGGCCATGTGATGATTTTAGCTTATGAATTTTATTGTTTAATGTCTTGATTTGTATATTGGGGTACTTTTATAGCTCTGTTTAGAGTACGTAATGTTTTGATAATATAAATGTTTTAAGTCTTTTGTATCAATCCAGTATATTTTCTTTTAATTGTCAAATGATTCTGTGTACCTTGCAGCAGCCTTTGGCTATGTGCAATAAAACTGACTGACCTCTCAGTAGCCTTCAATATTATCAGCAATGGTACCCTTCTGGACTGCCTTGCTGGGGTGGGACTTGGAGGCACTGTTTTACAAGGGAGACGTTCATGTTGAGTTCCAGCACGATTTTTCCCCTAGAAAAATAAAGGGATCATTGAAAGTGCAAGATATCTGGGGATCCGGCTTCCCTAGCTTACTTAGAGTTCTTGTTATGGGATGAAAAGCATATCACCTACTATTATCCCATACTTCCCCCACACCCACTTTCCAATAACAAGTAAGCATTTTTCTAAGATGCTTAGATCTTCACTGAAAGGAGGAGGCAGATAAGAAACAAATGACACTGTCTTTCTCTCTCTCCCCCCACCCTTTTTTATATGAAAAGAAGCCATGTGTTTCACTTATCAGAACACCAGACTTTAATAACAGATGCTTCCCTGCCTTCCTGCCCACCAAGGGATGATCTAATGCCTGGAACCATGCTTCAAATTGACGTTTAAAGCAAGAAGGAGTTTACATAAAATGAACTCCAGGGAGGCAAGGTTTGTTTTAACTTGGCAGGGCCTACCACGAAGGAGACAGCCCTTTAACCTCAATTTTCTCCTGAAATGGGTCAGGAGTTGCTCAGATGGGCATGGAACTAACAGGCCCAGATAGAGAAAGGGGTGATTAGTCAATGGTAGCCTGTCTGCATTTGAATGCTCTTTTTCTACCTGATAAATGGACATCACATGAAAGTTCATCACAATCCCTCCTCCCACCCTAACATAAAGCCCACAGCCACGAACAACTTGGTTTTAGTGTATGGTATTACTATTTATATTCATGTTCTAACAGTGAACAGCAAACCTCTATTTGATCGTCACAAAAATCATGTGATTTAGCATAGCTTGAAGATCGGTGGAGAGGAATGCTCAAAGTCACCCAGTGAGTTCTGAGTTTCCCTTCCTTCTCCTGAACCCAGAACTCTTTGCAGAAAATAAAAAAGCAGGGGGAATTACTAGTGTTATATATTTTGATATTCACAGTAGTTTATCCCACATTCCTAAATTCTCAGAATGTATGTACAGTTTAAATCTGACTTCATACTTTGCTTTGCAAAGTCAAGGGCAATTGTACGTATATAATTGTTGTTTGTAAGCCTGCAAGCAAGGTCATATGCTGTTATTTTGGAATGATGCGTATTAACTTCATGTATTTTCTAGATATGGTGATGATGATGATGATGATGATGAAGATTTGACCTTCAGGTGGAGGTGCTGCCAATAGGTGGAAACCTGTAACCTTTTAGCTGTTGACTAAGTTCTTGACAATTGGCCATGCTGATTGGAACTGATGGAATCCAGAGGGCCACAGATTTTCCATATCTGCTCTGCAGTGTCTGAGGGTTACAACTAGACATGGTACCTTTCAGAGGCAAGTCTTTCCACATAAAGGCAATTGCTTGTCACCTCTTCTTCCCTCCTGGCCCAGAAGTGCTGGCAAAGCATCTCTAACTCACTACAAATAATTGGACCGGGCCCTAAGAATGGCAGAAATGGCACTTGATATATGGGAGCGACATCCCTTAAACATACATGGAAAGCTAGAACTTGTCAGTTGCTTTCCACAACATTGTACACTGTGTCATATAAAAAGGGATATATGTTTCACTGTACAAAATCTCTATAAATAATATTAAAGGCACAGAGACCGATCAATGCTGAGAAATGGAACGGCATTTGTGTTGCTTGGGACTGACTGTTCTGTCCTCTAGCAGAATTATTCCTTTCTAGAAATATTCCATCAGGATCAAAACACCTAGTGTTTCCCTTCTTCTTCCCTCCACATACCATTTTACTAGGTGCCTGTATTATTAACCCCGCTTTAGTGTTCTTGGTTTGATCTGCCTCAAATCACTTGCGAATGCAGGAACTTGTAATGAAAATATAGCTACTTTTGATTTAGGAACCTCAGTAAATGAAGCTCTTCATTTGTAGGTTTCTGTGGGAGATCCTTGAATCCTAGGTGCCTCGCCACCTTTCTCCCTCAAACTGTGGTTTGATATCACAGGTGCATATAAAGCTGCCTGATACCATATGGAACATTTTTTCAGTTCAACACAGTGTTGTCTGTTCTGAGACAGGAGACAGCCAGATACATTTACCTTACACTTGATCCTTTAAGTTAGAGATGATGAAGAAGAAGAGGAGGAGGAGGAGGAGGAGGAGGAGGAGGAGGAGGAGGAGTTTGGATTTGATATCCCACTTTATCACCACCTGAAGGAGTCTCAAAGCGGCTAACATTCTCCTTTCCCTTCCTCCCCCACAACAAACACTCTGTGAGGTGAGTGGGGCTGAGAGACTGCAGAGAAGTGTGACTGGCCCAAGGTCACCCAGCAGCTGCATGTGGAGGAGTAGAGACACGAACCCGGTTCACCAGATTACCAGTCTACCCCTCTTAACCACTACACCACACTGGCTCTCACTGGCACGGACTGAGCCTGGTACTGCCTGCCTACAAAGCTTGGGCTCTGTTACTGTGTTATAGTTCCTTCTACCATTGGAGTGGTGCTGTGGGTTAAACCACAGAGCCTAGGGCTTGCCAATCAGAAGGTTGGCGGTTCAAATTCCCACGACGGGGTGAGCTCCTGTTGCTCGGTCCCAGCTCCTGCCAACCTAGCAGTTCGAAAGCATGTCAAAGTGCAAGAAGATAAATAGGTACTGCTCTGGTGGGAAGGTAAACAGCGTTTCCGAGCGCTGTTCTGGTTCGCCAGAAGTGGCTTAGTCATGCTGGCCACATGACCCGGAAGCTGTATGCTGGCTCCCTCAGCCAATAAAGCGAGATGAGCGCCGCAACCCCAGAGTCGTTCGCAACTGGACCTAATGGTCAGGGGTCCCTTTACCTTTACCATTGAACTATGCTTCTTCCCATGTACACAGTATAAGAACGTAGGAAGCTGCCAATACTAGCTCAAATTTGTGGACACTGACTGGCAGTGGCTCTCCAAGGCTTCAGCCAGGAATCTCTTACAACTCTACCTGGAGATGCCAAAGATTGATCCTGGGATCTACTGAATGCAAAGCAGATGTTCTCTCACTGAGCTATGGACGGGGGATGGGGGTAGGTTCCATATGGTGACAGTTATCTGAACTGCCCTAATTTTGCCAGCCGAAGACGCAAGGAATTCCTGCTTTTGCACATGCATTTTCCCCCCTCATCTGACTGCTGAACGCCATCCTACATAGAATATTGTTTAAGAGTGGCTCCATTGGGGCAAAGGAAAGACAATGGAGATGAGATACAGAATCATAGAATTGTTGAGTTGGAAGAACTCCATGAGACATCTAGCCCAACCAACTATAATGCAGGAATCCTGCTCACAGCTACCTCTGGATGGGTTTGAACCACTAACCTTCTGGTTGTAGATCTTGCTATTTTATTTTTTTATATATTTACTGTTTACTGTAGCACAAACACACTTTTGCCCTTTTGATAACGTAAACTCTCTCTCTCTCTCTCTCTGTATGTGTGTGTCTGTGTGTGTGTGTTTACTCAGAAAACAAATACTCAGGATCTCATATTTGAAAACTACTCTCTAAACTCTCAACTATTTCTTTGATGCCCCTGACTTCCAGGATGGATCTGGCATTGTTTGTCTAGCTATATAGTGCTTAGGGCCCATCGACCAAAGCTTTGCTTCAGTTAGAAGAGCGATGATCTATTCCATTACAGAAAAGATCAGAAAAGTTACAAATAACAGCACTTTTCTGCGTGGCTTTGTTTGCCCCCTGCATTTCAGAGAAATGTCACAATTTTGCTGCAAAAGAGATTGCCTTCACACATGAAATGTCACTTTTGCCTTGGGAAAAAAGAAAGAAAACTGAAAGAAACAGTACAAGACAACCTGTCTTTCAGTTTTGCAGACACCAATATTTTTTAAAAAAGAAAAAAAAGTATGTGGTAAGACACTTATGCAATTTTTTAGCCTTTTCTGCAAGTGAAGGGAAGAGAATCTTTGGATGTACTATTTTTAAAACCATGCCATTATTTTATTTGGTACATGTAAGAATGTTGCTCGGATGCCATGCCAGATCTAACTGCTACAAAATTGCTATAGAAGCTTGAAATGTCCTTATTGGCAGCTGGCTTTCAAAGATTGCCTGTGGACGGAGATTCCCAGTGCCCATCACCACTTAGGAACGCAGGAAGCTCTTCTACAGCAAGTCAGACCATTGGTCCATCTTGTTCAGTGTTGTCTAAACTGAATGTTGGAAGCTCTCCAGGGTTTCAGGCAGGAGACATTGCCAGTTCACTAGGGACTGAACCAGGAACCTTCAGCATACAAAACAGGCACAGGCAATGACCGATTTACATGTGACCGCACATGTGCACATCACACCGAATCAAGAAGTGACTTTATAAATGGCAAAAGCAGTGCCTGGCTGTCCCATGAGCCTTTCCAAGTACAATCTTAGGAGCCCTTGCACCAACTGTTGAGGCCTGTGGAGAGTTTAAGTTTGAGCAAGGAAGTTTGGAGGGAGCAATTGTGGTGGAGTTTGGTGCAGTCTAGTAAGTGCTGCTGGTTTTTAAAAGGGTTGTTCAAGGCTTTCCAGCGGTTTAGAGGATGTTTGCAGGCTTTTCCAATGGTGTTTGTTTGTTTGTTTGTTTGCTTGTTTGTTTGTTTGTTGAATTTATATACCATCAGGGACATGGGTGGCACTATGGTCTAAACCACTGAGCCTCTTGGGCTTGCCGATTAGAAGGTCAGTGGTTCAAATCCCCATGATGGAGTGAGCTCCCGTTGCTCTGTCCCAGCTCCTGCCAACCTAGCAGTTCAAAAGCACACCAGTGCAAGTAGAGAAATAGGTACCGCTGCAGCGGTAAGGTAAATGGCATTTCCATGCGCTCTGGTTTTCATCACAGTATTCTGTTGTGCCAGAAGCAGTTTAGTCCTGCTGGCCACATGACCCGGAAAGCTGTGTGTGGACAAACACCGGCTCCCTCGACCTGAAACTGAGATGGGCACTGCAACCCCATAGTCGCCTTTGAATGGACTTAACTGTCCAGAGGTCCTTTACCTTTTTTTCTCTTTTTTTCACCTTTTTATATACCCCCCTATACACGGAGGTCTCAGGACAGTTCACAGAACAAAATCAAAATATAAAACCACAATATATATAATCAAAATAAAAACAACAACCCAATAACACCCCCCCCAAAAAAACCCCTACATTTTAAAAGGGCGTAGGATGTCAATCAAATCAACCAAAGGCCTGCTTAAAAAGGGACGTTTTTGCCTTTTGGTGTTTCAGATATATGCAGTTATGAGTTACCAATCATATATGAGTTACAAATTATATGTGGTGCCTTGGCATGTAACCCCACACATAAATGGGGAGTTGCTTGTACTCTACTGTGGTACAGCTCTTCCTCAGACTCTCTTATTATCTCTGTTCTTTCCACTGCCATGCAATAACCTCTTGAAGTGTTGTTGTTTTCTACAGTCAAGCAGTATATAAATTTTATGACAAATAAATTGGAAAGCAATAAGGAACAGCATCTGGCAGTGATTGATATTTACCAAGTCTTACATATATTTGGAAATCACAGTAATGTGGTGTAACGGTAGAGAAGTGTGAGCTTCTCCCATTCACAGCATTCAGTGTGGAGATGTAGCTCTCCACATCAGCACAGAATCACACAAAGTCCTGGCTTGCCTGATGTTTTTTCGAGGAAAGGGAACCACACAAATGTGGTCTCTGTGTGGTCATCCCAGTGCATCTTCTATCAGAAGCTGTCTGTATAGTAGAACAAGCAGGGGTGCCAACTGGAATAAAATATGGGGGGGGGCAGGTAAGCCCCGCCCTGCAAAATCAACCACACGATGCAGTGCACACACACCATTTGAATGGGAATGCCCATCAACTTTGTGGGGGCCCGGCCCCCTCAAATGTTTTATTGTAAGGGCCGAAGGCTCCACGGCCCTTAGGAGTTGGCTCCTGTGAGAACAATGGTGGCGCTGCAGCCCTTCCTCACACGGTGTGAGCTGGAGTTTGACCTCTAAACATGTTTTGCAAACAGACTTGGATTTTTGGGTCCCTTATCTCAGGAATGGGAAAGTTATGCTTTCCCCACATGTTGTTGCAATCCAGATCCCATCAGCTCCAGCCAGCATAGCCAATGGTCAGGGATGGTGGCAGCTGTGGGTCAAACTCGGCCCTCCAGATGTTTTGGGCCTACAACTTGTCGGCATGCAGAGGGCTGCAAGGCCAGCTGGCTAGCCCCAGCTGGGCTGTCTCCTTCCAGCCATCCCGCTGCGAAGACCCATCGGCCTCTGGTCCAACGTAAATCAGCGACCCGGGCTTCAAAGCCAGGGCACACTATCAGCAGACTGAACTGCGCACACAGAATAGGCGTGAGGCTTGTGAAAGCATACTACAACTACAGATTTATTAATCATAAATCAGGACAAAGAAACATGTTGTCTCTCTCTCTTCGTCTTCTTAGAGAGACAGGGAAAAGCAAAAGCAATACACACAATGGAAGTTCCCAGCAAGCAGTGCTGGAATGTAAACAGACATGTGAAACACAACAGTTCCACACGTCTGCTCCTTAAGGTGGAATTCTTAACACAACTCCCATGATCCCTAGCTAACAGGACCAGTGGTAAGGGATGATAGGAACTGTAGTCCCAAAACATCTGGAGGGCTGAGTTTGCCCATGCCTGGTCAAGAACTTCTGCAGGGTGACAGATTCCCCATCTCTGCTGCATCTGAATCAGTTTGGTTCCTGTATGGTCTGTTCACTATCATCCCTAACCCAAAACTGGTACTTTTACAGTGCATTCTGATATGTGTCCACTCAGAAGCAAGCTCCAGTAAGTTTAATGAGACTTGCTCTTAAATGAGAGTGCATAGGATTGCACCCACTGAAGCACTACCCCAGTACAGGTTTCAATACAAATTCAGCGGGTTCAACTGATTACAGCAATGATGATTTCACTCTTATTTTCTTGGGAGGCAGTAAAAGGTGGGAATCACATAGCTGCTGTGAATCCTCTAACCGCCCATCAACTGCAGAGCAAAGTACATATAAATGAATATCCCTGCCTCTGGATATATACCTTAAAAGGTTATTGAAAGCTCGCTGCTGTCGGTGGACAAAATAACAATATTTTGTATACCAATTGGAATGCTTTCTAATAGCAGAATGATTTAGATATTCTACATATAAACAAATAATTGCAGCTTTTATAGTTTAATTATTGTGTAAGGCTATTCTGCTTGCTGCTGTGAGGCTGGGAAGGGTGAGGGTACAGGTTGGTCAAATAAATTAAGGCCTGTTAGGAGGTTGACTAACACTGGGAACCTGGGAGACAGTATTCCCTATATAATTTTTTTAATGGCTCTATTTTCGTTCACTTTGCAAGGAGGCTGCTTAAGACCCTTTAAAAATTGTAGCCTTGAGAGTTCTGTTGGTCACCTCAGAGGAGGTGAGTTACTAGTCATACGTTTATGTTATTGGTGTGTATTAGTTTAGTTATCATTAGGGTTATTTAGCTAATTAACTCACACCACATAAATGCATATTGCTACTGGGCTATTCCCATAATTTTAAAAGTTACGTATTGCTGCTGAGCCATTCCCCGTTGAATTGTTAATTATTTTTTTTTAATTTTCTTTTTTCCTCTCTCTGTATATATCTCTTCCTTAAACATCCTCATTTTAAAGTTTGAGTGTGAGTCTATGTTCTTGGGAAAATCTGCCAAAACACATTATTTCCAATATCTAAAGATTCGAATTCACAGACAAAATATGTTAGCAGGTGTGTATGTGAAACCCATATTGAATGAGGAGGGTTGCTAAGTGTTGAATAGCCAAAGAACCCCACAAATGTTTCTGCGTACCAAAGAGTGCTTTGGGCATATGGGGCTTTTGAACAGCTGCTCCCTCCCCATGACACATCGGAAGATGCTTTTGAAACTGACAGTGCACTCCTATGTGTGATTAGTACTCAGAAGTAAGCCTCATCATGTTCAAGGGGACTTACTCCTAGCTAGGTGTGTACAGGATCACAGCCAGAGAGGACTGCTATGATGCTGTGTGTATGCTATTTAGAGGAAAAGTTTAAAATCTTAGTAGGCGTGCCTTGGGTCTGTTGCAAAGGATGGAGAGCCTGTGGTCTTCCAGATGTTGGTGGGCTTCAACTCCCATCTGCCTCAGCCAGCATGACCAATGGTTAGGGATGATAGGAGTCAAGCAACAGCTGGAATATCACAAGCCCCCCCCCCCAATATTTTTTATGAAAGTCCTGTTAAGAAATAAAGAAATAGGAAGGCTACTTTTAGCGGGTTCTTTGTCTTCACTCAAACACCTGAGGCAAATCATTCACATTAAAGGGAAGTTTTTAATGACTGATGTTTTATTGTATTTTTAATCATTGTTGGAAGCTGCCCAGAGTGGCTGGGGAAACCCAGCCAGATGGGCGGGGTATAAATAATTAATTAGTAGTAGTAGTAGTAGTAGTAGTAGTAGTAGTATCACAATAGTTTTCATTGTCATCCTTCTGAACAAGACATTTTGCTTCCTGAGGCAGAGAATCCAAAATGCAGTAAAAATGCATCAATAAACTAAACCCATGTAGGACCTTTTAATGGAAGAAGAAGAAGAAGAAGAAGAAGAAGAAGAAGAAGAAGAAGAAGAAGAAGAAGAAGAAATTATTTATACCGCACCCATCTGGCTGGGTTTCCCAAGCCACTCTGGGCGGCTTCCAACAAAAGATTAAAAATACATTAAAACACCAGTCATTGAAAACTTCCCTAAACAGGGCTGCCTTCAGATACCCCAAAATCTGCCACCGAGGTGAGCCAACTCACCCCATTAATGGTAGGACTGCTCCTGCTTCTGAGGACTTGTTTTGAGGAGGGCTTGGGAGCCATTTTAGTTTTCGTTTACACCAGTTTGTTTCCAGGGTAATGTCAAGAATGTGGGAACAGAGGAGAAAAATAATATATATAAATGAATACTTTTTTGGGTCACTGGCAAGATTGGGGACCAGGTTTTGTTTATGTTTAAAGTTTTGTTTGTCTAGCTCTATCTTGTTATATATCTATGAAAACCAATAAACGTATTTACAAAAAAGAATAATATAATGCTGTAAATAAAAAGTCCAAAATAACTGATGCTTTGCTCTGCCTGGCATAACAGTTTGACAAACAGTGACATTAATCCAAAGTCTGCAAATCGTGATGGTTTTGAAGCATAAATAATATTATCTTCTGTCAACATGTCCTTCAGAACCGCTTCTTAACATAAATTCCCTTACCAGAAATTGTCTAGACTCCTAGGGGTTAAACACAGAGCATATTATATTACTTTAGCTCCTACTTTACATAACTTCTTCAAAACCTCAGTTTGACTTCCCAAATCAACTTTTACTTAAGCTACATGAAGAAACAATGTTTAGATGTTTGCCCCAGAAAGGTGACTCGAAAATTAGTTTTCTTTTAAGAAAATGGTTGAGTAACTTGTGTGAAATATTCATTTCATAGCTCTTGGATACAGAATACCCACGTCAAAAAGCAGGCATTTTGCAATAACTGAATGGCAGTGCACATGTTTTGATCACGGGTGTTTGTGGGGGGTATGAGACTCTCCTGAGAAACCTCTGAAGCATTTTTTGGTCTTTTGGGGGCTACCTTTTACATTCTTTCATGTTTCTCCTGAGGAAAAATCCCAAATTCATTTTGAATTTTGCTTTGGGCAAAAATCCGACGACTACCTAGCAATGCATAGGAAATGCACACACCCCTGAGAAATGCCAGCCTTTCTGAACTGCTTTAAAACAGGTGTGAGGGGTCTTTTGCAGCCCAAGAGCCATATTGCCTCATGGGGAATGTTCCTGGGGCTACATGGGTGGGGCCAAAGACAAACGTGGATGCAACAACAGGTGTGCCTCTTGTCTTTGTTCTGTAGGCTGTACAGTGGTACCTCGGGTTAAGAACTTAATTCGTTCCAGAGGCCCGTTATTAACCAGAAACTGTTCTTAACCTGAGGTACCACTTTAGCTAATGGGGCCTCCTGCTGCCGCTGCACCACTGCCGCACGATTTCTGTTCTCATCCTGAAGCAAAGTTCTTAACCCAAGGTACTGTTTCTGGTTTAGCGGAGTCTGTAACCTGAAACATCTGTAACCCGAGGTACCATTGTATTCCAGAAAGAAAAGGCGATAGTATTAATAAGTAGCAGCAGCAGTAGTAAACAGTAACTGCATCAATAGAAGCACTGCTTATCTTCTTAAAAAATTGTTTTGATTAAAGATTTTATTGGGTTACAGAAGTACATACATCATCTCTATTTTCAGATCATAAAGTCCTTTCTACAGATCCGTTATATTTGATGTGAGACATTAATGTTCTATACAGTACAGCATTGCTTTTCTTGAGGCCAGGCCTTGCCCCTGTGACAATGGGTGCCCTGTGACAGGCACAATGCCGACGTCATTGTGGCATGTGCACATCTGTGCATCATGTCGGCACACACTCCAGCATGCTGACGTCATGTGTGCATGTTGTAGGGCAGGGACATCCAACTCCCAAGATACTGCAATCTACTCCGGGGGGGGGGGGACTGGGAGTGATCTACCCATTTGGTGGGGGGGGGGGAGTTCAGAGTTGTTGAACTTTTTTTAGGGGGAAGGCCTAAGTTGTTGAGCCTCTTTTAGGGGGGCAGGTCAAAGTGGTTGAGCTTCTGGACCATAAAGAAGGCTGATCGCCGAAGAATTGATGCTTTTGAATTATGGTGCTGGAGGAGACTCTTGAGAGTCCCATGGACTGCAAGAAGATCAAGCCAATCCATTCTTAAAGAAATCAGCCCTGAGTGCTCACTGGAAGGACAGATCCTGAAGCTGAGGCTCCAATACTTTGGCCACCTCATGAGAAGAGAAGACTCCCTGGAAAAGACCCTGATGTTGGGAAAGATGGAGGGCACAAGGAGAAGGGGATGACAGAGGACGAGATGGTTGGACAGTGTTCTGGAAGCTACCAGCATGTGTTTGACCAAACTGGGGGAGGCAGTGGAAGACAGGAGTGCCTGGCGTGTTCTGGTCCATGGGGTCATGAAGAGTCGGACATGACTAAACAACAACAAAAAGTTCTTGACCTTTTTATAGTGGGGAGAGCTTTACAAAGTTGATGACCTTTTTTTAAACAGTAAGTGTGCAGAATTAAAATAAATCGCTCACCAACAACACAGCCACTAACAGACTAAAGCAGCGCTACAGCAGACAACAAAGGGTCACACACTAAACGTGGCGCTGGAAAAGACCGAGAGGGGCGAAGACATGATTCTAAACAATGCGAGTGATAACGATCCAGCGATCAACTATGATCGTCCGGGGATCAACCTGCTGATTGCGGTCAAACAGCTGGACAACCCTGTTGTAGGGCATGTGCATGTCACAGAATAGAATCTGGGGGTCCTGGCCCCTTCGTTTAAAATTTGTGGATGCCCAGGCACCTAGGGGCCTGTGGAATGCCCTCCCACCAGATGTCAAAGAGAACAACACCTACCAGACTTTTAGAAGACATCTGAAGGCAGCCCTGTTTAGGGAAGCTTTTAATGTTTGTTGCATTACTATATTTAAATATTTTGTTGGAAGCCGCCCAGAGTGGCTGGGGAAGCCCAGCCAGATGGGCGGGGTATAAATAAATTGTTGTTGTTGTTGGAGCCTGTTCTTAAGGCTTCTCAGAGATAGGAGGAGTCCCAAATTCAACCCCAGATTTTGCTTGTGCAAAATATTGGGGGCAAGACTGATACATGGACTGGGAAACTCACTTTCCTATTTACATATGAATTAAAACATGTTTTTTCCTAACACAAATTTCATGAGGAAATTTAAATTCATGGAACATGATCATATAAATCTCCTCAAATATGCCTGGAGAAATTTCTGGAACAATGGGATATCAGCTCCGCCCAAGGCATGATGGATAACAGCAGCAACCAGAAAAAGATAGGCACAGCATTTTATAAGGATAGGAAAAAATGCCACAGACAGAATAACTGCCACACATAGAAAGAACAAGGATATAGTCTGAGTGCCTCATTTGTAGTATTATAAATCATTTACTGTGTCAACACAAATAGAAGTTATTAATATTGCAGTTGTTGTATAAGGGATTATTATTATGACCGGAATGTAATTGAAATTAATAAGATTATGGAATGCAGAAATGAAGAAAATAATCAAACCATCAATTCTAGCACGTGGGGGGCACTTTATCTAAATTATATAATTCGGTATTTGAACAAATGGTATTAGTAATGGTATTATAAACTGGTATTGTTATAATGAAACTATTATTGGATTGTAATTGAAAACTAATAAAAAATATATTTTAAAAAATATGCCTGTGGGGAATTCCTTCTTTGCAGGTGGTCCCCACTCATAAAAATGAAGGGGACAGGATATGGTTCAGTGGTAGAGCACATAGGACATGCTTACCATGCAGGGAATATCCCACTAAGTGCAATCCTAGAGATCTTCAGTACAGTGGACTTCCGGGTTGGCGCCATCGGTAATGGCAGATTCCCTCTGACTTTCTGAGGGACCAGCTCCGCGGGATCGGGTCTCACCGCTGCGGCGAAGCGGGGACCCTTCAAAAATCACAGGCAGGTGAAGCTTGTGAACGTGGGACTCGGCGGGCACCTTTTGCGCCCCCCCCCAATCTGTGAAGGAACCCATTTTTGGGCTCCGGAGCGAAACGGGGTGAGCGGCGCGGTGCTGAGAGTCGACTGCTTCTTCCGCGGACTGAAGCCGCACAGCCGTTATCGGAGAGCGCTGACTTTTTCCTGGGACAATTCGACTTCAAAAGTAACTACCCGTGAGTAGGATAAAATTGGATTTAAAGGGAGAAAACAATTAATTCGGAACCGAAGCGGGGAGGCATAAACAGGAAGTCCGCCTTCCATTTCTTGTAAACAGATCAAAGCAAAGAGACTGTAAGCGGAAACTTTGAAAGACGTTTGAAAAAGGACGCAAATCCTAACATCAGAAAAGCGCTCTCCCCTCCGGTTTCCAGGAGAGGAGGGGGGAAAGGTTTGAACTGTATTTATCTGCAAAAAAAGAGGGAAAGGAAGCTAAAATCCACCGCTTAGAACCTGGGAATGGACTGCCTTGGGACAAGGAATGCTGTTCTGTGAAAAGCACTATTGGTAAACAGAGTACTTTTGACAGCTAACTCTGCAAGAGAGATACAGTGTTTCTGGACTTCTCCTGGTTTTAAAGTAATTGATTAAGTGCAATTGAAACTGTTCCTTTTTTGTGAATTGGGGGATTTATAAAGATTACTTTCTTCTTAAAGTTGCAAGCTTTGTCTGTTACTGTGTCCCCCTAGAGGAGGTTTGACATTGCTACAATAACAACTGGGCTGGGGGAATTTTCCATTTCAAAACAAATTCTAGCCGTGGGACTGACCTCGGACTTCTATGAGAGTGTTATGGCAGATGGAAGAGGAAAGTTAGAGTTGATTCAGGAAAAAACTACCAGGTCTGGAGATCTTCAGAAGAGACAGTCCTGAGCTAGGTAGACGAAAGGTCTGACTTGACATTAGGCAGCTTCCTGTGTTCCTAAGCTCTCCATACAAGGGAAAGCAGAGAAGGAGAATTTATTTCAACAACAACCCTAACATTAAAGCACACCTTGCATACAACCCACGTCACTGGATCTATCCATCTGAAATTTGGCATAATCTAATCAAAAGGGACAGATTTCATCCAGATGTGTCAAATAAATAAAAAGTATAGCTGTTTATTGATTTCCCATTAAGGTCAAGGTCAAGGTATGTTACCCCTGGATGGTTAAGTCCAGTCAAAGACGACTATGGGGTTGCTTGGCTCATCTCAGGCCAAGGGAGCTAGTGTTTGTCCACAGACAGTTTTCCAGGTCATGTGTCCAACGTGGCTAAACTGCTTCTGGCACAACAGAACACCGTGATGGAAACCAGAGCACACGGAAATGCCGTTTACCTTCCCGCCACAGCGGTACCTGTTTATCTACTTGTGCTGGTGTGCTTTCGAACTGCTAGGTTGGCAGAAGCTGGGACAGAGCAATGGGAGCTCACCCTGTTGTGCGGATCTGAACTACCAACCTGCTGATCAGCAAGCCCAAGAGGCTCAGTGGTTCTGACCACAGCTCCAGCTGCGTCCCTTACCTTACCTTGCCTTTCCCCATTATAGCTGGTTAGAAAGGTATCTGAAACTTTGAGAAGTGAACCACAGCAAACCTCTGCTTTGGACCCAAACCAAAGTGAACTGCTTGAATCTCCAAACGGAAGCAAACTGTTATCCAAAGTCTTTTTTCTTTTCTTTTCTGGCTCACATCACTGGCTCACAGCATGACCACATTGTGACTGTGGCCACCTCATTCCATCTGTGGCATTAAGCAGCACAGAATCAATTAAGCAACACATAATCAATGACTTTGACTCTGATCTTCCAAACACTTCCAATTCCAAGTCAGTCCTGTGTTCTCCCCACTGCCATTATCATTGTAATATGGCATCCCTTTGGCCTGCCTGTGTCTCACATCAATGACATCACCTTGGCAGAAAACCTGGAGTGTTAATGCTTGATTAGATTGCCTCATAACAATGCTATACCCTCCTCTGAAACATTTTAATTGTTCTGGCCCTTGAAGGAGCATATGCCTCGAGAGGATTTATTGTTTACCTGATGCTCAGGAAGATTGAAGTGAAGACGGAGATTCTGGAGAGAAAAGCGATCACTCACACGACTTGTAACATTTTATGGATAAACTTTGCAAAGGCATCAAGATAAGATGATCTATCCAAAGGAGCTACAGTACAGGCAGCTTGTCGGCTTCTGACACAGACGCTACCTGGATTGAAAACCAAGATAAACATTATCACAAGAAAGAGGAGATGAAGTATCATTTTCCTGGCAGTTTAAGAAAGAAAAGACCTAAGGATGCCAAAATATCTTTTTAACTGTGTAGAGTGATTGAGTTTCAGTTAAAGGTCAAAGGTTATTGGAACACGTTCTACGCTTAAAAAAAATGACATGAGCTTTCAGAATGTTAAGGCAGATAAAAGTTAACCACAGCTGTTTTCAAACACAAATTTGAAGTGTGTTCTTGTCATAGCTATAATAGCACACCGAGTCTGAACAATCTGCAACAAAAGACACTAGAATCCTTTATTCCTTGTTTTTGTATGTCAGAACGAAGAACCTTGACACACAAACAAAGCACTTGTTGATCCAAGCACCCCCATCCAGAACACGGAAATTCACATGGAAGTCTATTATGTGAAGACAGCTCCTTTATATTCAATGGTGGTGGTCGCTATGAATGCTGAGCTAGCCTCTCCATAGAAGCTAATGGTCAGCTTATTATGGCCAACAAAGCCTCGTGTAAGTGCCATCATATGTATCAGGAAGACGACTGAGACTTTTAGAGATACTTAAACCACAGTTCCTAAAGCAATGAAACCAGTAAGACCTCTGCGGGTCCAGTAATGGTTTCTCCCTCTATAAATTCCACAAGTATTGGGTTGTAAGAATTGGATATCTTTCTCCTACTGAATACAAAGAGCATTTGACCATACATTTGCTTTCTGGCACATCTGAAAAATCCCAATTAAAATATCCACAATTCCAATCCACACAAACACAATGTGGGCTTTGTTTTTACCCCCCCTCCCAGCCATTGGATTCTATTGCTGTTGCTGTTGTATGCACAGTTCATGTTCCAGAGATCCATTAAATTAATTGTAAAATTAGGGAGATAAGGAGGCAGGAAGAAGGGGGAATGAAATGTTCTTCAGATTTCAGTTAACAAATCCGTTACTTGCTTTTAAAGCTCCTAAATCTTAATTAAAATCTTAGGGTAAAACACGAGTGTTTTAAGGGACTCTCTTGTGCCCACTATCAAAATACTGAGAAAGCCCCCCTGGATGCAGATTGCAATCCTCCATAAAAACTCATCCTTATTTCCTAGTCTATAATATACAGCCCCAGTAAACAGGGTTTGAGAAGCCAGCAACAGCAAAACCATGTGAACCTGTGATGCCCAGTATCAAACTACAGTGTAAGAAGAAATCAATGTACGTTGTGGCCTCTGTCCACCAAGAATCTGTTGACCATGCAGGCTGTGAAGCAGAGGTGATACTGTCACTTGGATATAGGAATGAACAAGTATTAAATGTTTGGGTGGAGTGCAATGTCTAGCTAGATGCTGGATGTGTGACTATCTCTCAATGATTTAACCAATAGGTCATTGTTACAGCATCTTCTCAGCAGTGGGCAACATGCGCCCATAGGCTTTACTTTTCCACAGCTGCTGTCTCCAACAGCGCAATTATTTTATTCTCTGGGCTGATCAACCAGCCATCCATATATGATGTACAGGCTCTAAGGTTTTCTAGGCATGAAATAGGTTGGAGTGGAGAAACTGTGGACCTCCATATTTTGTTGGACTCCATCATGGTCAATGATCAGGGATAATGGGAGGTGAAGTCTGGTGTCATTTGGAAAGCCAGCGGTTCCCCATTCCTGAAATGGGTTTATTTACTCACTTATATCCCCTACCTCTCTTTACTAGGCACTCAGGGCAGTGAACAGCAGTAAGTCCGCTCACCTTTTCTGGTGGACAGCATTGTGGCCAGTGGTGGAGTAACCCCCTCCGGCACCCGGGGTGGGACGCTGAGGGGCAGGGCGAACCACCCGGTGGCGCACGTGTGACGCCCCATACAGACTGCGCATGCGCGGCATCCCATATGCACTGCAAATGTGCAACATCCCGTATGGAGTGTGCACACCCTGCAGTCCATATGGTCGCCATACAAGAGGCAGCCCGTACGGACGCTGTATGGATGGAGCGCAAGAGCGGCAGCCTGTACGGTCGCCGTGCGAGAGGCAGCCCGTATGGACAGCTCGCAAGAGTGGCAACGCCCATACTGACTGTGCGCGCCCTTGGCCGCTCTACATCTGGGGGGAGGCAGGGGCCATCTTGTCACAGACACACCCAGAGTGACACCCAGGGCGGAACACCCCCTCCACCCCCCACTTCGTATGTCCCTGATTGTGGCCAGGCATCTGGGCTCCTGCAGTGATCTGGCAGGGGATGGAGATTGATGTCCCCCCCCCCCCGTGCTGTCCCAGCCATGTCACCGGCACTGGGCAAGGGTGGCCACGGCCCCTACCAACACTGATTGGACAATGGGAAATTTAAACCCCCACCTGGTCTGGGGCTCCTCCTTTCTTGCCCTTCACAGTATTAGTGTATATGTGTATGTTATATACAGTGGTACCTCGGGTTACATACGCTTCAGGTTACATACGCTTCAGATTACAGACTCCGCTAACCCAGAAATAGTACCTCGGGTTAAGAACGGACCTCTGGAATGAATTAAGTACTTAACCCGAGGTACCACTGTAAATCCATTTTGCCTCACCCTTCAGCTCCCAGAGTGGGTTACAGATCAGTAAAAAACAAACAAACCAAGACCCTCCCTGCCCTTGCATTTACCAACTAAATTCCAAAGGACAGCACAAAGGAAAAACAGATGCAGATGAAGGAAGAAGAAAACAAGTTCAGGCACCAGTTCTTAAAGTAACAAAGTCCTTATAAGGACCTTTCTCCTTAGGGAAAAAGATCTGGGAGGAAAGCTGTGAAATGGAGCTGGGTCTGAGCAGCGCTGCTTCCCAACTCTGTGACTGCCTGATGGGACGGCTGCCGCCGCATGTCTAATACATACGTTTCACTATTATATACAATTTGTCATGAGAATCTAGAGGGCACCAGTATAGGATAGGTGAACATTGCTGGCATTATCCATGATGTTTCTCATGGTGCACAACTTGGCTCTGGGAAATTGTCTAACAGTTACATTCTCATGCTGTTCAGTGTGTGAAAAGGTTTGTCAGGATGGAAGGGGTCCTTGGTGGAAATAAGGTATTGGAAATAAAGGTTGGAATATTGTTTAGGATTTTTTATTTATTTACGTTTGCTGCTGTTAATGATATTAATTTTAGCTTTGGGGTTTTTTAGATGTGGAGATTGTTTAATTTGGTTGTGTACATCTGATGTGTTATTTATTTATTACTTATGTCTCCTTTTGTTATGTTTGTAATTACAGTGGTACCTCAGGTTACATACACTTCAGGTTGCATACGCTTCAGGTTACATACGCTTCAGGTTACAGACTCCACTAACCCAGAAATAGTGCTTCAAGTTAAGGACTTTGCTTCAGGATGAGAACAGAAATCGTGCTCTGGCAGCACGGCGGCAGCAGGAGGCCCCATTAGCTAAAGTGGTGCTTCAGGTTAAGAACAGTTTCAGGTTAAGTACGGACTTCCGGAACTCATTAAGTACTTAACCCGAGGTACCACTGTACATAATGTTATTTTCATGTTGTAAGCCGGAGTCAGCAAACTTTTTCAGCAGGGGTCTGGTCCACTGTCCCTCAGACCTTGTGGGGGGCTGGACTATATGTTTTTTTTTGGGGGGGGTGAACAAATTCCTGTGCCCCACAAATAACCCAGAGATGCATTTTAAATAAAAGGACACATTCTACTCATGTAAAAACATGCTGATTCCCCGACCGTCCGTGGGCTGGATTTAGAAGGCGATTGGGCTTGATCCGGCCCCCGGGCCTCAGTTTGCCTACCCATGTTGTAAGCTGTCTTGAGCATGGTTTGAACTATGGAAAGGCGGCATACAAATAAAATTATGTATGTATGCATGTATGTATCTATGGCGCACTCAAAGTACAGGTACAGATAGATAATGCAGCTGTTCCAGCCTCCTGATATATTTGGTGAGATTTCTGAGGGCAAGGATGAAGGGTTCTACATCTCTCTCTCTCTCTCTCTCTCTCTTTCTGTGTGTGTGTGTGTGTGTGTGTGTGTGTGTGTTTTCAGGCAGATAAAGCTTTCACTGCAGTTCTCCAGTTGATGGAAAATTTAACTTGGAAAATTGCTTCTAGAGACTTTAGACATGGTTGACGGTGAAAACTAGAATACTGTGCGCTACCAGACATTTACCTCTTCTGTTATCTTAAATAAGGATTTCCAAACTGTAATTGATTGGTTCCACATGGTATTCTGTCACTCCTCTATCAATGAAGTGGAAGCGAGGGTGGGGGAGGGGGTGGGGGAGATATCATTTAGTAGATGTTAAGTCTAGCTTGAGATGTTTAATTTCAGTTTCATTAACTTTGCCATCTGTTTTATCTCAAAAGAACAGGTAGTGGCAGATGGAAATCTTGCACTTTAGTCCATGCTGTTAAAAGCAGAACCATTAGCTAATAAAGTTAACACCAGCCATGATTTAATTAAGGAAGAGACCCTTGACTTTGTGGGTCTGGATGGGAATCTAGTGACCTTCACAGGTTCCACACTTCTAGACAGGATCATGTGATAGACAGACAGACAGATAGATGATAGATAGCTATAGACACACACACCCTAAGTGTGTGTGTGTGTGTGTGTGTGTGTGTGTGAAGTGTTATGCTGTTGTATATGGAGGTTTTGAGTTTCCTGATTTGCTGCTGCATCTGCTCCTCCTGAGTCCCTGCAGATACAGACAATTTAAAAAGAGTGTACGGTCATTAATATATTGGGTGAGATGAGAGGGGAGGTGTTAGATTTGTCCTACTTGAATTCTTGAGAAAACAGAGCTATTTATGAAGTGGTGGGCACCTGGTTTCACTTCAGCTAATTTTGAATAGGTATATCAAGCTCTTTGGCATATCTGCACTCTTTAATCCTACCTTTCCCTACTCAGTGCCCTCTAGATGTTTCAGACCACAACTCCCATCATCCCTAGCCATTGACCATCCCAGGTTGACCATTTCCAGCTGCCCCTCGTGTGAAGCAATTTAAAGATATAGCTAGCAAAACTAACTAAAGGTTAGTGGATCGAAAACATGCACACATTTGTCGATGTGATCACCTAGTTTACCAGGAACATGCATGGGAGGCGTGCTCAGTCCGGAAGCTTAACAATTGTTCTTAACAATGCATAGAAGCTTGTGGCCAAGCTGAAGGTCTGAATGTGTTGCATTCTTTAGCCTGCCCTTCAGCCAAACGTTTCTTGATGAATTTGTGGGGAAATGCACAAAGCACAAATGTGTGCATCCTCTGGGTACTTGCGTACTATCCTCTCTCTCTCTCTCTCTCTCTCTCTCACACACACACCTCTGATGCAGAAAAGCATGTGTCTCAGGTGGGAAAAGAGACAGAGAGAATGTGCAACTTGGGAAACAATTTCACACAAATTTAATTTCTGCTGGTTCCTCCCCATGGCTTCTGTGACATTGCTTCTAATATATCAAGTATCGACAGGCATACTTGGGGAAAATTAAAGGTATGAAGTACCTTGGGGCAAAACATTATTTTGTGTGTGAGAGCAAGAGTGCATGTGTGCATGCATGCACATTCATATTAATTTGTGTTTTCTTGGGAATTTGTAATTATGATCCATCCCTCTTCTATACCAGTGTGCTTTCCTAAGGGATTTTTGTCCTTCAAAGACAGCTTGTGGCAGCTCCGTATCCTTCACAAATGTCTCTCTGGAGATTTCACAGACAGAAAGAACAGTCAGGTGGTCTCATGCACCCAGCACCCAAAAATGGCTCATGGGAGAACCCTTGTCAATTTCCTGCATCCTTGATATCAGTATGGAAAACAGCTGAAGAAAGA